TTTACTAATATATGATTTCATGAGAAATTGGCCATGTTTAATTTATTTTGCATTTAAGTTCGTAAAACATTAAAAAAATCATGGCTCATTTGGAATGGGTCTGGCCCATGTTTAACCCTATTTCCCACACTTTTTTGGAAAAAATGAACTACTGAATATATAAGTTTAACTTTTATTTTGACACTCCAAAATTCTTCTCTGATCTCGAAACTATCAAAGTTTTGACATATATTTACCAAAAGATAAGAAAATTCATGTTTCAAAGTTATCGATAAACAGTAGAGATGTCGGTTTTCTTGGACTAAAAAAATGGCATCAAACTGAACTTTGGTCTCCGATTTCTCGCAAACGGGTTCGAATTTCGGAAAACCGACTTCAGTCTGGGACATAGGTGGCTCAGCTCTAGTGAAAACCGTTTTGTGGAAAAAAGGTGGCAGCCTACCTTTAAGTTATGTACCTATTGTCAAAAAATGTTGGAGACGTATCATGACCTGAAATGACCTCAGGGGCATAAACGGGTCATAGGAAGCATTTTTGGTTCAGTGTCTTCATGTTCACCTGTGTTCCTTGATGTTTGAGGGTATTTTAAGCCAAAAGAAAGGCATTTCAATTTGTTCCCTTTGATTTACGCATAATGGAGAGGTCACAAAATTGACCTGATCTTTAGTCACCGATATCCAAATTCTGAGAGAAAAAAATTGTTGGTACTGATTCCCCCATGCAATACCTACCCTGATTTTCAAGCTACTGTAATGTTAAATGTAGGAATGACTGAATCACAAAGTTTTTAGATTCATGGTCACTTCACTTTGCCTGGTGGCTGGTGACCTGACCATAAGTGACCTGGGGTCAGACATTTTTGCACACGTTACGAATTTGATGTATCGTAAGCTTTAATAAGTATGGATTTTATCAGGATTTAATTAATATCACAAGTTATTTTCACAACATAGCATTCATAACTTTCATTTCTTTGTTGCTGACGAAGTTAGCTGACGATCGTTTGTTGAAGGTGCAACGTCTTCACTTTAGGTTGCTAGGGACGCTCGGTTGCTAGGAATGACGTCATCAGTAGCAAAATGCCGATGCCAGATGAAGATTTGGTGGGGGCTGACTTTATTCACTCGAATTTCTGAGCGCGAGAATGCCCTCGCTGAAATTTATTTGGTCGGCAATCCACTTTTCAGGAGAATTCTTCAAGCATGTTTGTGTTTTCCATAGTTTGCTATCACGTTTTCCATAAATAACTTATTCATTACACATATGTGTGTCTCTAAAAGAAATAAATGCCCCATAAAAATTAAAACACATAACTTTTGCTGTTCGCAAACAGTACGCATAATTTCCAATAGCGACGGCGACAAGACATTGACCAATCACGTTGCGTGTTTCCTGCTGGCGTTGATTTGTACTGTGGGCAAAATGGCGTGAATAGAATTACCATACTATTATCTTTATAAGATTGCGTGAATAGGGTGCCGTAAATAGAGTGGGGTGGAATGATAGTACGCCATTTGGTAGCACAACCTTTATAAGATTGGGCCCTGGGTTGTGTCACAATGTGCTATTAAATAAAAAAAAATCCAAGTGGGCGGTGTTACCCAAGTGTCTGCATTTTTCTTTAAAAAATCCTTCAACATGGCAACACGACAAAAATTTCGTTCGAGCAGGGGCACGTAATGCTTGGATGAGTCCTAATTATGGCAAATAATACTACTTCAGTACTTATGTTTGTCAAATAAGATAAGTTTTCTTCTGCTTATCATGCTAGAAAAAGTATAAACGTATTCACGAAACGTAAAATTCGGAATTTCTAGCAAATCACCTAAACCAATGCGGTGCACTGCCCATACCTGCACTTCTGTTGTCGTTACGCTGCCAAAAGACAGTCAGCTGTCGCCCTAGACCTTTTTATATTTCTGATATGGGGGTAGGCGGTGTTCCCTAAAGGGCGGTGTTCCCCATCTTCCCCTATAACATATAGTTTTTTTATGTCACTGACCTGAGGTCAGTTAGAGGTCATTACGTCGTAATGTTAAGCATATGGGAAAATATTCAATTCGGAAAATACTGGAGATATCCGCTTCGTTCTATCACTTTTGTCCTTTGAAACCTCAGTACTTAACATTATGGCACTTGGTGCTTCTTTGTTTGGTGTAGGTATCCATGGGTCGTCAAATGAGGTCAACTGAGGTCAAATGACGTTTGTGCCAATAACTTGTCACATAATAAAGATACAGCTGGTGCATTCCACGATAGATCGTACCAGGCCCGTCACCCTCATCTCTCAGATTTTAATGAAAATCCGTCCTAGGGGTAATCATAGGCCCCAAAGACGCCTGGCAAAATATCAGACTTCTCAGATCAAAACTTTTTGAATTATATTGCATTACATTTTTTTTAACTTCGGTTTGTAACGGTGAGTTTGATGGCCTATGACTCATGAACGGGTTAAGCAACCAACAAACGGTAAACAACACTAAGCTTGCGATGAATCAAAAATTAATATTACTTTTTAAAAATTCCAAAGAAAAATTTTCATTGTTGAACAAAAACCTTATCTTTTTCGTTTGCCTCTAATGACTTTTGGGACCAAAATTTTTCACATATCTATTTTTTCAAAATAAACTTCATGTCATTGAAAATCGACATGCCCAAAATAAAAAAGGTGTTCTTTTGATAACTTCCTCATTTTCCCGCAAACAAAATGGGTTTCGGAGGGGTTGATACGACCCCAGCACGCCGTTTCGCTTCTAATAGAGCTAGAGCCTCGCGGAAAAAAACGAGCGTGTGTGCCGTTACAAGTCGCAACGATTGGTACCCAATTTTAAGGTCTCAGGTTAACCGGTAGCGTCTGAGGTCAGGTCAAGTGACTGAAGTTACGGGTTCGGTTTTTAGTAAATATTTAACTTCGCAAGAAATGGCCGCAGAGCCGCGATTTTGGCATCATTGTGTTCGCCTAGCTCAGGTGCATCGAATGGTATACTTTTTGTTAGAGTGAGGTCAACTTAAGTAGTTGACCTCGGGTCAAGGTCAGGTCAGAGCCCCTCAGGTCACGAAGCTGGGCAAAGGGTATCATATGGCATATCTTTCGATTCGGAATGTCTTCCCGAGTCCATTAGTGGCTTTCTCGACTCACTAGCTCAATTTGATCGGAAGTTATTGACGAAAAACTCGTACGACCCTAGTGACGTCATAAATGACGTCACGCATGGTTAACAATGCAAAAGTGAAGCATTGGACTTCGCAAGGAGTGCATGAAATCACGGTAACATGTACGTGAGATAGTTTTAGATCATTCTCGGCGCCAAAATAACAGTTTTTATATTTCCCCATTGACTTAAACAGTGATGTCATGTGACCGACCTGACCTCATGTGACCTTAAAAACTCCCAGATATGCATGTTGTGAGACCTCTTGAGGACACCATGTATGCGTCCTGTAACTTTTATCTCGGACAGCTATGGTCATTGGCGTCCAAAACAATGTCAGAACCAAACAGCCTTTTTCACTCTCGCGCTTACAGGAAAGAGGGTTGGATGAACCCTCTTTTCATTTTTTTTTCAGATGACTCAGACTTCAATTGAAATTTCAGTAACCCGTGATGTCACTAGGCAGCCTTACCACGGCAGTTGTAAGCTCCCCTCCCGAAATTCCCTCCTCCTCCTCCCCTCACTATTCGAAACAGTTATCGTGACGTAAAATAAATACATTTATAGAAAGAACACCTTCCTAATTTTTTGCATACTTCTTAGCAATGAGCAAAATATTTTTTAAGAAATAAAAAATCAGAAAAAAATTGGTCCCAAAGTCCAAAAAATACGAATGAAAGAAAACTCGATATGTTATATATCAAAAATAGCGTATTTTTCGAAATTTCAAAAGCACATATTAATCTCTGTTTCATTGCAAGTTCAATGTTATATAACATTTGGCATTTGAATAATCCGTCTCAGAGTTACAGCCCGCCAAACTTAGCGCTGCAAAGCAAGATCCAAAAAATGCTATACATCATAACTCAAAAAAAATAATTATCTGATAAGCGTGAAACTGTTACAGGTGCATTCAGAGCCCCTGATTAAGTGATTACCCCTGATACCAATTCTCGTCAAATTCCAAGAGATTAGGGTGTCAAATTGGAAAAAAGTGGTACGATCTATCGTGGAATGCCCTAGCTTTCAAAATGGTATCATTCTGTTCCTCTCGGAGAGCCGAGTCGAATGATATGCAACATTAAGTATTTTGACCATTCTTAAGACTTAAGTAGTACTTAAGATGTGCTTAACTTTTTAAGTACACTTAAGCAAGCAAAAAAGAAAACCATTCGACGCGCCTTGACGTGCTGAGTTCACTGGTGCTTTTCTTTTTGCTCTATCTTAATTAGATCAAAAGTTATAAGCGAAAAACTCTTGATCTGTTTTTAGCGAAACTTTTTACATTCATATCCCCCCAAACCCCCCTAAATATTGATCTAGAGCAACCAAATTTGCACAAGGGCGAGAACTCCAGGGGGCCCACCTACCTACCAAATTTGTTTTTTTCTAGGTGCAATAGGAGCCAATCGCGAGGGGGGTCGCATCGACCCCCCCCCCCCTGCCAGGCCGTGTTATGAAAAACACCCTGCCAGGGCGAGGGTTAAGCAGTCAACATTTTTTCGCTAAAAGGGGCATCGTTGGAATCAGAACAGAGCATAGCATCACAGCAGTCATGAGCCCGCATACTTTTCCAACTTTTTTTTCCAACAACCCTGCTGGTGGGCCTCAGACGAGCCTGGATACCAGGGTCCCTGATGGGTCCCACGATCCCTGATGGACCTCAGTCACCCCTGATCAAGATCAAGATCGTGTATTAGGAGCATCCACGAACGTGGGTGTCCTTTGGCATCCACGCCAGTGCCACAACGGATGGGCCCACATCGAGCCTTGACGAGCCAGCGATGGTGGTCGTCGGTGCTCCGGTAGCCATGCGCCGGCGCGCTGGTGAGCGCGACCGTCACTCACCCGGTAGGCGTCCACCACCTGGGCCTCGGAGCCGCCCTCAGCCGCCGGCGGGCCCGGCCGCCGCCGGCGCCGGCCGCCGCCCGGGTACACGCCCACCTCCGTCCGCGGCGTCAGCACCTGAGGGCGCGCACCAGCTCCGCTCAGCTCAGCTCAGTTACGACACGCGGCGGGCCCGGCCCACACCCTCCACAGCCCCCGGGCCGTACCTCCAGCAGCGAGAGCGAGTTGCGTCGGAACGCGCGGCTGGTGCGCTCGCGCCACGCCTTGGCGCTGTTGGCCAGTGTCTCGAGGCGCACCAGGTCGGGCAGCAGGATCGGGATCGGCTGTCCGCGAGCTACCAGCGCCTCAACCGCCTGCAAAACACGCCCACCTGTCAGACCCACAGAGCACAGCTCCCGTCAGCCGGACCAGCAGAGCCCCCACCCCCACACATCAGAGCCCCCACCCCCAGAGCCCTCGTCCCAACCCCGTCCGACCAGCACCTCGTCCCAACCCCGTCCGACCAGCAGAGCCCTCGTCCCAGGTGGCACTGACCACTGGAAAGAAGAAAGGTGACTAGAGAACTTAACATAGTTTATCAGCTACCATGTGGTAACTGCGACAAATCTTATATTGGAATGTCACGCTCTGTGTAACCTATGTTGGTGAAAGATGGGGCATTCCACGATAGATCGTACCACTTTTTTCCAATTTGACACCCTCATCTCTCGGAATTTGACGAGAATTGGTCTCAGGGGTAATCAGGGGCTCTGAATCCACCTGCAACAATTTCAGGGTTATCAGATAAGTATTTTTTTAGTTATGGTGTATAACATTTTTTGGATCTTGCTTTGCAGCGCTAAGTTTGGCGGGCTGTAACTCTAAGACGGATTATTCAAATGCCAAATGTTATATAACATTGAACTTGCAATGAAACAGAGATAAATATGTATTTTCGAAATTTCGAAAAATACGCTATTTTTGATATATGACGTATCGAGCTTTCTTTCATTTGTATTTTTTGGACTTTGCGACCATTTTTTTTTTGAATTTTTATTTCTTTAAAGAAATATTTGGCTCATTGTTAAGAAGTATGCAAAAAATTAGGAAGGTGTTCTTTCTATAAATGTATTTATTTTACGTCACGATAACGGTTTCGAATAGTGATTTCGGGAGGGGAGCTTACAAATGGCGTGGTAAAGCTGCCTAGTGACATCACGGGTTACTGAAATTTCAATTCAAGTCTGAATCATCTGAAAAAAAGTGAAAAGAGGGTTCATTCAACCCTCTTTCCTATAAGCGCGAGGGTGAAAAAGGCTGTTTGGTTCTGACATTGTTTTGGACGCCAATGACCATAGCTGTCCGAGATGAAAGTTACAGGACGCATACATGGTGTCCTCCAGAGGTCTCACAACTTGTATATCTGGGAATTTTTCAAGGTTACATGAGGTCAGGTCGGTCACGTGACATCACTGTTATAAATCAATGGGGAAATATAAAAACTGTTATTTTGGCACCGAGAATTATCTAAAACTATCCCACGTACATGGTATCGTGATTTCATGCACTCCTTGCAAAGTCCAATGCTTTACTTTTGCATTGTTAACCTTGCGTGGTCATTTATGACGTCACTAGGGTCGTACGAGTTTTTCGTCAATAACTCCCGATCAAATGTAGCTAGAGAGTCGGGAAAGCCACCAATGGACTCGGGAAGACCTTCCGAATCGAATGATATGCCATATGATACCCTTTGCCCAGCTTCGTGACCTGAGGGGCTCTGACCTGACCTTGACCCGAGGTCAACTACTTAAAGGGAGATAATGACCTTTTTCCACAAAATCTGAGTTAGGACCATTTTCTGACAAAACACAACAAGTTATAATGTAAATTAAAACCATTTTGCTCAATTCGGTACCTTGCCGCAAATATCTCAACTTGAAGTCACGTTAGCGGGGAGCGCTGAAAATGACCGTTGAATAAGTACTTACATCACTTTTTGGTACTTGCATGTAATTTTGTAAAATGAGCGTATTCCTTACATTTGATCTTCATCACATCTAGTTAGTTAATGGTCGTCTATAGTGCCTTCAAAAGATATTCATGATTTGGGGGTGGTTTATGTCTAAATTTACGCAACTATTTTTCCTGTTCATCATCTGACGCCATATGCTGCTATTTTAGTAGCAACGACTCAATTTTGAATCGGTCCCGCCGACTGCACAATAAAAGAAGATAGATACAACACTTTTGCGGCATCACTGAAAAACTTATGCAGTACTGTTATCAAAATTCTCATAACACCGTTCGACAAACCTGAAGTCTTTTTGAAATAAATATGCTTGTATTTTTCGCTTTAGGCTCTGACGCCAAAATAATGAATTTCGTAGTCGCAATCGCAAGATTTGGCTGCGTTTCTGGCGCATGCCGTTCATTTGTGCCGCATGCCGCATGCCGAAACAAAGAAGAGTAGGCACTATGTACCCCCGAATTAGAATCTAATTAATTCTAAACCGAATTAACTCTAATTCAAATTAGAATCCTTACAACCAAGCAACGACAAGGCGATAACATAAACAAAAACCCAAGCGTCGCTGTTTGAAACAAAAGCGCCATATACTGCGACTTTTTTATAGAGAAGGACAACGCATTTCGGTGGGTGTTACAAGTACTGCAAGTACTGCTTCTTTTTTGCAAAAATAAAAACCTTTTTCACATACGAAAATGTGCTAGGAAATTTTCATATTTTATAGAAACTACAGTAGAAATAGTATAGATGTCGAGTAGTTTCTATTTAAGAAAAAAGAAAGCTCATTATCTCCCTTTAAGTTGACCTCACCCTAGCAAAAAGTATACCATTCGATGCACCTGAGCTAGGCGAACACAATGATGCCAAAATCGCGGCTCTGCGGCCATTTTTTGCGAAGTTATTTACTAAAAACCGAACCCGTAACTTCAGTCACGTGACCTGACCTCAGACGCTACCGGTTTTTTTTTAAAATATTTTTGGTGCCCGACCCGGGCTTTTTGTCGTTAGCAGCACACATTCATACTGGGTTAGTACATTATATATGTTGCAGGCACTTTAGTAAATCAGTCATTTTGTAAAATGCCTAGGCATTTTACAAAAAGACGGCTGTTTGAAAAATGACTGAACGCAACCAGGCTTTTTTCAAAATGGCTAGCCATTTTACAAAATGACTAGGCATTTTGCAAAATGCCTGACCAGCATGGAACGTAGATCCCACTACAGATACTATGGCCAACAGTTTTTGGACGTCTTCCTATACCCTATAGGTACGTGTTCAGCATGTAGCTGATCGATTTGAAGCTCTGTGATGACGACAATGCTGAGTAACGACCAGGTTGAGTTGCAGACTCGGCTGTAGCATAAAGCATTGTTTAGTTAACGCTGTAAAAACTCCCAAGTCCCAAGTACATCAACGCCGTTCATGTTCTACCTGAAACTAGACCTAACAAAGCCAGCCGGAGACCGGCCCTAGTCAATAGGCAGGCCCGGTTGATGATGTATCATCAGGTCGCTTGGCGTAGGACGAGAGCGTTGGTTTCAGAAGACACTAACGCCTAAGTGTGTGGGATCGAATCCTCGCGACCTCTAATAGTTTTACAGATACAGGCCGGCATAGGGCCAGTCGTTTGTTGACTCTCCAGATCGATCATTTTAAATCCAGCAGCGTCGCTGACGTGGGGGTTGGAAATGTCGCGGCCCTGCACTTCTCAAAATAGAGGTAGGCATGGACTTCCCACTGCTGGACTTCTCTGGTCATAATGCTGGACTCCTCGGTCCACCTACACGCTACCAAAACGTATATAATTAGGTACTCGTATCTACAACACGCTGCTCAGTCATTTTGTAAAATGGCTAGGTATTTTGTAAAATGCCTAGGCATTTTGCAAAAAGCCTGGAAAATCAGGCATTTTGCAAAATGCCTAGGCATTTTACAAAATGACTGATTTTCTAAAGTGCCTGCAACATATACACGGCAATGGTACGAAGCGTTTTCGGCACCCGCTACGCGGGACAGCCTTGACCGCACGCTTCCTGTCACGTACCCCAGGTGGCACCGCACTGGTGCGCACGCTGGGGCTATCCCGACTTCTCGGGCCCGGCAGGTCAGAGGGCTGCTCCGGGACATGAAGCGAGGCCGTGCCCTCGGGACATGTCACCGGACCGAAGGATCTGTTTGAAGGCGGATCAGGCCCGTGTACCTGCGGCCGGGGGCGCTGGCTGGCACAGCGGTAATCCCCACGACCGAGCGAACACTCCCCAGTTACTGCCATCTCCTGGGTAGGAGCCGGCCGAGGAAAACGCTGCCAGAGGTCAGCTTTGGTCCAAGGACCTCCCACGCCAAACGTGAACGCACTTGCCAACTGCGCCACAAGGGTGGTTAGACGCTACCGGTTAACCTGAGACCTTAAAATCGGGTACCAATCGCTGCGACTTGTAACGGCACACACGCTCGTTTTTTTCCGCGAGGCTCTAGCTCTATTAGAACTAGAAGCGAAACGGCGTGCTGGGGTCTTATCAACCCCTCCGAAACCCATTTTGTTTGCGGGAAAATGAGGAACTTATAGAAAGAACACCTTTCTAATTTTTTTGCATGTCGATTTGCAATGACATTAAGATTATTTTGAAAAAATAAAAATGTGAAAAATTTTGGTCCCAAAAGTCATTAGAGGCAAATGAAAAAAGATTATGGTTTTAGCTCAACAATGAAATTTTTGTTTGGACCCATCTCCCATAACCCATCTCAATATATACATTAGTCTATTACACCTTTTTGCATTTGAATTCAACCATTCGCCATAACTGTTTGAGGAGCCATTTCGACAATCGGCATTGAGCACAATTTTCCGGCGTGGTGTGTTTCATTTCAGCCATTCAGCAAAACAGATTGAACACTGAAATGAGCGATCTGCAAAACAGTTTAACAGTTCGCCAGACTTCGGCATAGAGGGAACCAGCTCGGCATATGACGACTAGTTTCGACCATTGACGATTTGTTTTGCACAATGTTGAACCATTCGTTCAATGTCGAGTTCTAGAGGAAGATCGCCGAATAGTGTTGCACAATGGTGATTCTTTGTGACAAACCGCCCATTTGCAGCGCCACCTATATGGCGAATGTGTACAAACGTTTTGCCCAATGGTCAAAAGCTAACGCAAAAAGGTGTACTAGGTACCGTAAACGGGGGTGACTTTGCCATGTTTCAACTTCAGACGCATGTATTCTTTAAAGGTAGTGTGCCAGCTTTCTTGGACCGTATGGAGTTAATGGCCCAGATAAGGAGAACCGGATTTTTAGAACTTATCCATACCTTCAAAACTCATGGAAACGTCTTAAATTCTTCAAAT